AGCCATGACATTTTCTTCAATGGCACATGAATCAACATGAATGTCCAAAGTTGACTTGTTTCATGTTAACTTTATTGCCTGCCTTTTGACTACCTCTGTGAGTCAACTGCAAGGACTATAGCCTCTTGACTATAGCAGAAATAACCTAAGGTGCCCAGAGCATTTCTTTTCCTTACCATCAATCTTAATGACATTTGAAACTTCTCTCAAATCTAGTCTTTTCCTGGTTGATCTGAGAAGAAAGACTTGGCCGTTCCTATAGGTCCATCTTAGGTTTGTGTTTAGACATGGGGGCTGTGGTGAGGGGTATATATTTAGGTCCAGAAAGTGCTTGTTCCAACTGTGTCTTTAAACATTGCCCAACGTAGTACTGGGGTTTTGTGGCAATGCCTCTGGAACCATACTGGTGGACAGAGGTGGGGAGGAAGGGAGTTTGAGAGGATGGGCGGCAGGAAGAGGCTCTGTTTCTGTTTCACATATGGGTTATTGTTTGGAAAGGAGTTGGGGGTGGAAGTCCCATGGTAATAACAGATTGGAAATGATTATGGCAATCAGAATATTTCTAAAGATAGAAACAGGCTCTGGTGAAGTTTCTAAGAGATTTGGAAACAGGAAAAAGCATTCTGTAAGATGGACAGTAAAATTTATTTAAGAAAAATGGGGAAATGATTAAATGAGAAGCCTGACATACACAGATTACTGTTTTTCTTCTGACCCTTTCTTTTCTCTCTTTCTCTTCTTACCTCAGGACCTTTTCTCTTCTCATTAACACCTCCACCACAGTTGGAACTTGGAAAGAGAAAAGAAGTGTTCAGACATGTGCCTATTTGCATAGTCACGTCATTGAGTTAATGCCAGGACAGCACAAACGTTCTGTCCAGTTCTATAGAAAAACCAGTTTTCACTCCATCAGTAAAGTATTATTTTCTTTTTTTATTAGCATAGAGCAGCTTATATTGCCAGGCTTCTCTTAACTGTACATTATAAATAGTGTCTGATTAAGAATGTTCTGGATGGGTTAATTAGTGTGGTGACTATTATTAAGCAAACTGCTTGTTAGTATTATGCCTATTTGATCTTGGTATTGATGTGAAGTAATTGACCATAGAGCTACATTTAGAAAAGCTGAAATAAAGTTTTTTTGATTTCTATTATGGCAATAAATTGTTTATATTAAATATGTCTGTGAAAATATGAGTTTCATGGCACAGAGAATCAGAATAGACTGTGTGGGATGGTGGATGTGGTTTGTTTTGTTTTGTTTTTAAAATTATTAATACATTTGTCCAGCCTATTTCAAGACTAGCTTTATTGTAACAAAGTAGCACAAAAATATTTCAGCTTTTGCCTTCATTCTTACCACAGAGTATATGAAAACTAAAGTGTTTTTCACTTTCCCCAACTAAAGGAAATACCCTGTTAGATTTAGCTAATTGCCTAAATACTTCTTTTGGTGATGATCACTATAATGAATAGATTATAAGAAAAATATGAAAAGATGTTATAAATAAGGAAAACCCAGCCTGTAACTACTTTCTTTCAAGTACCGGGTTGTTATCTATATATTTATTGGTATCTTGTCCAGTTCTATTATTAAGTTTCCCTAGCTGTAGCATTTCCATACGGAATTGATTCCATGAGCTAATAAATTATACCATCAGGGAGTTTTCCTTGAAATTCAGCTAAAATTTTCCCATTCTTAATTTCATCTCGTTACTCCTAGTTATACCCCCTTGTACCAAGCTAAATAATTATTCTTTTTCCTTGGAGACTCTTATTATGTACCCTTCTAGTTGTCACTTAACCAGGCTATTCACAGTTAGCTCCTTTAATCTGTCCTCATAAATCAGTTCTTCCATTGCCTTAATTATTATTATTGCTCTTCTAAACACTCTCTAATTTTCAAACATATATAGTTCTCAGATGCCCCAGATGATATCAGCTTTTGCACAGGGCTCTATCCTAACAGACTTAGTGTCTTCCTTCCCTGTACAACAAGATCCAGAACTAAATGGCATCAGTTAGCTGAATCAAATCAACTCATGCTCATCTTGTCAAATTCGGGATGGTCTAACTGGTGTTTTCCATGTGCCCTACTTGCATTAAAGGTTTATTTTGATTTCTTTCAATTTCATGAAATTTGTAAGCTGTTTTAATTACTGTCCTTGTTTGTATTCTGCATCTTTCCATGTCCCTATTCACTACCACCTATCAAGTCAGTCATCTGCAACCTGTGTTAACATGGGATTCCTTTCATCCTTAAGAACATTTATGGAACGTGTTGAATAAAAGCAGGCCTCGTGCCTTGCCCACAGCGAAATTCCTTGTCAGTTACCAATTCCTATTGTTTACAACCTTTTAGCCAATCTCTCATCTCTTTTAATTTGCAATTTTGCTCACATGCTGGCCAATATAAATGAATTTTAATAGTAAGATGGATCATGATGCTGTTTTCTAAAATGAAGATATGTTGTTTGAATCCCATTTATTTATTTATTTATTTATTGGTGAATCCTTCATCCACTAAGTTTGTAATTCTGTTCAAATCCTTTTTAAGCTTGCCTGGCACTCTTTATCTGACATAAACAAATAGGTTACTTCACTTGCTTTGTTTTCCAGATATGTACAGATGTTCCTTCTTTTACCGTGTGTTTCATTTCTTTAGTAGAATTGAAGATACTGTCATAATAATTCTATTTTTTTTCTACCTTTTGTGGTGATTAATGGCAATTTTTTGTTGTGTTTACTTTCTGAATCTCTTCAGTATTTTGAATTTGTTTCAGGAAGAAGTTGACTCGTTCCCACAGTGATTTGGCGTCTATGAGGTTTGAAACTATACACATGCAGGTTTCTTTCCTTTTTAAATCAAGGACTAAATTTATTATTTTATTAGGGCATATTTAAGGGGTTAGTATCATTGTGTTTTATCTTTCTATATACAATCATCTATTTATTACTTGGGAGTTCTTATGTATTTTTGAGTTTTCTCAAGGTATTTGAAATTAGAATAGAAATTATGTTTGTTTATGAAACAAACATAGAAGCCCCCAAAAGAATCTTTTTGGTTCTGGAATGTGCATAGTGTACTACAACCGAAGACTTTGTTTCTAGCTCCTGTGGCTCCTCCACTGTTTCTTAGTGTTGCCCATCAGATCTTGCTTTCAGCCCTTTTTAACACCCTCTCTCTGTCTCCACGGTGACTGTCCTGATGCCTCAGTGAGTTTCTAAAAGCCCATCTCCGCCTCTGTACACCTCACCTGAAATAGATGACCTGACCTAATGCTTTAATAATGCAACTCTTTAGATTCTACACCTGCTAGCTAAAGTTGTTTTGGTTTTTCAGCTTCAATTTTTTCTTCTTCCCTCAGCTTTGTAAGACAGCTAGGTTTATTATCTTTTATAAGACCCTACACCATGATCACACATATTATAATGTTTTTCTCCTTCCATCTTATAAAATCTTTCTGTTTCTTCAGGATCCTTCTTCCTTCCCTAGCAAGTATTCCCAAGTGAATACTACTGTGTCCATGTGTCTCATTTTTAAAAGTCCAACCTTACCTTCCTCTTCCTTCTCTCTATCTCCTTCTCTCTGCTTCTCTCTTTCATACACAAACCCTAATTTCCTGCAGTCTGATTTCTGCCCACACCGCTCTTCAAGGATATTGCCCATCGGAGTAGCCAGTGACTTACAGCGTGACAAAGCCAGAAGCTTCTTGTTTCTGCTGTGCAGCACCTCTGCAGTGTTTTATGTCCCATTTTACACATTCTTTAAGGGTTCTTGATTCATTTCAACAGTGTGATATTACTCTTGGATTCTCTTTCTAGTCTTCCAAAAGTTCCCTTTTGCTCTCCTTCAATAGTTTTTCTTTTTCACCTGCCTCCTAAATCTATTTGTTCCCCTACTCAGTAATTCATGGAAGGGGCCAAGTTTCAGGATGGGGCTCAGGAACTCTGAGAAAGCACTTGGTAGTCTGGCCCAGTCTACCCTTCTAGACCTTACATCCAGACCTACATCCCAGTCTCTTTGGGTTGCATATTATTTCCTGAGGAGTTGTATTTCTTCACCCCTTTTTCCTTTGGTCACCTGTTCTCTGACTCCAGAGTTTCCCCAACTCTGTCTTGCAAAATTCTTTACCCAAAACCTTCTTTAAGCCTTTACTGAGCCCCAAGTCAGCATTAATCTCTTCTTCTCCTCCACTAAAAAAAATTAGAATGGCCATTGTGTATATCGTATGTTCCAACATAGGTTAGTCGGCTGCTCGTGTGTCTGTCTCCCACTCTGCTCTAAGCATTAATGGTTTGCTTTCCAATAGATAGTGAGCTCCTTGAGGATAGGCCCTCTATTTGTATATGTGGCTTACAGGATTTAAGCTATATTATTTTTTAAGATTTTATTTTATTTTGATTCTCTTATCAGTAAGTAACAGATATTGAACTCTGTGTGATAAAGTGTTATGGAAAAATAGGAGATAAATGATAATAAAAAAGATACTAAAATATACTTCAGGAAACATTAGCAAAGTAAATTTAATAAAAAATATATTCAGGTGCCCAAGAATACAGAACGATCATGAGCAGAAATGACAAGTGTTAATCAAGGAAGTTTCAAACGTTTTTGTAGGTTAATGAACAAATATGGCTTGAAAATAAGCACTGGGCCATGTGGCGATTGGAAAACAGAAAATGGAAATCCAGAAGGATGAGCAAGGGAAAAGTGATAAAGCATCTCTCTAATCTTATGTTTTATGGTATATGCAGTGCAAGTTTTATAGCCATAGAAACTCTTTGGAAACCATTCAATGACAGCCCAGTCCAATTTCAAACTTTTGAACTTCTCTTAGTGGCTACTACTTTTTGCACTTATTCTAGAATTTTTGTTAAAACATCTTTATTTTTTTCTCAGTTTTATATATAATCATTATGTCCTTACAGGAAGGTAAAGGACAAATTTTACATATTTTTTCCCACTAAAAGTATATTGCATTCTTTTTTTGTAACAGATTCATGCCCAAGCACAAAACAACCCATTTAAAGAAGATGCTCAGCCTTACAGGAAATGGCGGTGCAGTTCTGTCCACGGCCCTTCCTTTTCAGCCAGAGCAGAGAGATTCAGAAGATTTATTGAAGAATTTTAATTCAGAGTGTGATACACACTCTGGCCTTGCTACTGCACAAGAATGTTTGGGTAACTCAGGAAGACAGGAATCAGACTTGAAAAAGTCCAACTCGTCAGATAATTCAGGCTGTCATCATGGAGAGAATAAACAAGATCTGACTGTTAATCCCGACATTTTGGGTGAAGTTGATAATCAGCAAAGACTGCTGCACATTGTCTGGCCTCACAGGTGGTAAGTCAAGGCATGCCAATTTTAGGAAGAGTTGTGGAACTAATTTGCTGTTCCTATTGCTTTAGAAAAAGATTATTTTAATGTAGTGGTATTACTAATGGTCTGCCAAGCTGGTACTACTAAATATCCTCATATTAATGGTCGTGTGCCTAGATTAAATTGAATTACAGATAATTATTTGCAGTGATTTGCTCAACTAACAGTAGTGAGTAGGCACATCTAACATACCAAGTCTTGTTCAAAAAGTTTCAAAATATAAGAATCAGATTCCATGTTAGGCGCGCGCGTGCACGCACACACACACACACACACACACACACACACACAAACACACAGAGTTATCACAAAACTATTTCATATATACACACTGATAAAGTAGTATTACCATTAAGGCAAGAATAATTTTCATTATTTACTACTTTGACCAGTTTCAACCGAGTGGCTTCATCTTACTTGTCATAATATGTATGTCAGTACATTTGAAAACATTTCCTTTACTCAGATGCCTCTGTATTGTGCTAAGCAAAATACTTTCTAGCCAAGTCTTTCCTAAACAGAGGAAAATCGACTGCAGCGTGTAATCTCACCAAATATAAACTCGAACTTAACCCTGGCTTCTATAAATTAGGATTTAAAGAGGTAAAATGTCCCGATAATCTTCTGGTATTAGGCATGAACATTTTAATCTAGTTTCTATTCCTCCCAGTTAGTTTAATCTGCATGTGGCCTGATTAGAGTTCACTTCCCCCACAGATTATGGTCTCTTTATTGCAGAGATGCTAGGCTGATCATTAGGTCCGATTTTCTGAGAGCAACCGTTTGCAGGTGAAGTAATAAGCACACCACACCGGCCGGGCAAAGCGCCTTTGCCGAGGATTTGCCTTCCAGCACATTAAAACTCCAGAAGCTCTCCCAGTTGATCTGCAGCATCTGGTACCTAAAGGGATTTTCATCTTTGATTCTAAATGTATGAACGTAAAATATAGGGTTTGAAAGTTGATGTGGAATGTGTTTTTGGATTTGTTTGTGCAACTTTGCATTTCCAGCTTAGCCTTTCTAAGATAGGGACATGTATTTTTAAATCATATTTTTTATTTCAAATGTGACAGAGTTCAATATTCTTTGATGTGATTTTAAAATGCAGTGAGTCTAGATGAGATTAACCTGTTTCAAGGTAAAATAGATGTCATCATTTACTCCCCTCTGAAAACCTTTTTCTTTTATTCCGTTAACCTTTGATTGTCTCTGAAGTACTATTTATTGCAAGAAAATCAGTTCTAAAATGGTAAATTAAATAATTTCTAGACTGCTGTTACAAAACAGCAATATGGAGGAAAGAGTGAAAACCATGTTATTCGATACTTTGCACAAAATAAGACAGTGCTATGTTAATAAAATTAACAATATTAAATTGAATAATTCCCTCTCTTCCTTTGTATATTTTTGCTTTAATTTAATTTAATTGCCTAAAGTTAGTTGCTTAAAGAGATGCAGCATTATGTTTGTGCACATTCTTATTGTTAAAGCTAAATTATTTTTAATTTGGAGAAGAGGGAAAAAAGCCGCATCAGCAAGAGTAAATGCCAAAATATAAAAGTAACACATTCATCCTTACGGGTAATATAGTAGAACATTGGAAACTTGGAGGTTGCCAGACACATAGCTAACATTAGGGCTAATTTTGAAAATCTAGCGTGCAGTCAATTTTACTGATGCCTGGGGACATACAAGGTAGAAGCTGACAAGAGAACTAATTTTGTTTGGGTTATTTACTGCTATGCATCATCCGCAGGTTCCCGCCTGACACACAGCTATATGAAGGGGGATATTATCACACACTAAAAATTTATGTTGACATTCGATATTTGTTCAATATGTCAGCAGTATTACTTTCATAATCAAAAGAGTAAGAAAAAGAGAAAAGAAAAGCACTTTATGCTCATATAGATATATCTTTTTAATAACAGTCTATAAGGTTAATATAGTTTACCTTTGAGAGTATACAATGAAAACAAGCAGGGTTAGGAGGGGAAATGACAGAAAGCATCAACCCGAGCTGTTTGTTTGCCATTACCTAAGCGAGCCATGTCAGCTCTCTGGCCCGCGTCTGATAGCTATTTGTTGTACAGAGAGCACAGCATAAAAAAAATATCAAACTCTTAATACTATTGTGTGCCCATAACCATCTGTCACTGCTAGCCTGGAGATGAGAGGAAGATTACGAGGAATAAACACTGAGCCGCCGAGCATTGGTAAAGCCTTCGGGCAAAAAACTCTTGTGGGGACATCAAAGACATTCTAATTCCGAGGCAGTCAAGGATTACAGTGTGTAACCTGTGCTGACAACAGATAAATGACTGGCAATATTGTGCCAGAGCTGTTGGGTCCTGCATGGAGTACTGATGATGATGATGATGATGTTATCTTGCAGAATGGACTCTGCTGGGATAATTTTATGATAAAACACTTTTTTCAAATGCCACTGGGTCTAGGCAGACATTTACTAGCTACAGGGGTAGCAATCAGTTTCTTCAAAATTTACTGTTCTAAGCCCATTAGAGTTCCATCGCAGCAAGACTCTTCAATGAAAATCTAAAACGCCTATATTTTCTTTAGGACAATTTATGCAAATTTTGTGAGCTGAACTCCTACCCTTTAGTGGTAGATGCTTTATCATCTGATTTATGTAAATGTGCTCATAAAAATACAGTTTATTTTTAATTGGTGAATATGAATTAGAAAATTAAGATTCTGGTTCATCATTCATCAAACATCCCCAGCTACAAGCACACATTTATTTAGACCCTGATCGTATGGTGGAAATCATATAATTGACCAGTCAATATGAATAGTATTCAGAGGGAAACTATGGTTTCTACTAGAAATGACCAGGGTTGTGTTTCTTATTCATCCCTCTTAGTTTGAGCCTCCCCCTTCCTTGTACTTCACATGTTCTTGTCAGTATTATGAGCGGCTTTAACTCCGTGCTGGAAAAGGGGGGTTTTCTTTACAGTAGCCTACAGGAAAGTCCTTAGAAGCAGGAATCTGTTGCATTTTCACCTTGGCCATGTATCTGTACCAGAGAGAATGCATTGATGATTGTTTCCCATGTAAACATAAAGGAGAAAGGAACACTGGAGAGGGCAATTGGATTCTTGCATCTTGTCATTACCTTGCCTAACAAATCAAAAATAAAACCGTCTTCTTTATCATAAAAAATATGCCCATGAAATCATGCAGTTGCAGTAGCCAACTCTAAAAATGAAGTGATGCTGACCTCATTGTGTTAGTTCCACACTGGGATCATGAATGGTCTAAAATATAGTGTCAGCCTTTAACATATCTCATACTAAGTCAACCAAATGTAGAGCCTACTTGCTAGAATATGTATCAAAATCAAAAGTGACATTTTCTAGAAGACACATTCTGGCTTTAAATCTGTGTTAAAATGTCTGTGCATGAGAACAGGCCCTTAAATGCAATGCTTGCCCCTCTCCTCATTCTTTCTCAAACTGAGCTTGTCAAGGATTATAGTGTGCAACATCTGCTGACAGTAGATAAATAACTGACAGTATTTTAGCAGAGTTGCTGGGTTCTCTGCAGAGTAATTTGTTTTCTCCTTTCCACCCAGTCTTTAATGTTTTGTTATAAACATCTATAGCAAGGGACAGTTAATAGAAATGACTTATAGAGAAAGACCTGTAAAAAAATAGGCTGCAATTGGCACTGCTTGTTTTTTTTTTTTTAAAGTATTTTCTTCCCAAATATTATACAAAATTGAAATATTAATCCAGGTTCCAATCTTTATGTGAGTGTTCTCTAATAATTATTATAATGGGCATAAAAGACACACTGCTGGAAGGATAAAAAAAAAAAAACGAATTTAGAATACATTGAAAGATCACTCTCTCAAGGCTGCAGTTCTCAAACTCTTTGGTCTCAAGACCCCTTCATCATACTCTTAATTATTGGGATACCAAAGAGCTCTTGTTTATTGGAATTACACCTATCAGTGTTTACTGTATTACAAGTTAAAACTGAGGAAAAAGTTTTAAAATCTACATTAGAGTGTTTTTAAAATAACAATCAATAACAAAATAACGTATGTTCACATTAATGTATTTTTATAAAAATTAACTATATTTTCCAAAACAAAGAAAAAAAAATCAGCGAGAAGAGCAACATTATGTTTTTAAAAATCTGTAACCTCTAAGTAGAAGAGACTTAGATTCTTATATCTGCTTAAATGTTTAATTTGTTACACTCTCTTGTTTTCATAGAAGTTTATGAAGAAATTCTGCCTCACAGATATAGCTGGGAAAGTTGAGTGTTTTAATGATTTTTTCAGATTAATATAGAGATTCTTCTTTGATACTATACCAAAACTTGACAAGTAGGAGCTTCTTAAAAGTTTGCTGTAATGTGGAATATGAAACCACATAAATGATTTCTTCATGCTCTGTTACATGCATTTGAATGGATTTTGTAGCATTATGCACTGGTGATTTGGGGAAATACAGGTTTACCAAATTGTGAAGATCTTCCAAATGTTGACACAATTTATTATACAATTTCAAAAAATAATATTTATTAATATCACCATTGATCTCATAAAGAGACATTTTTGAATAACGAGAAGCTGTCAAGCTTACAGCATAAATAGAATTTTTCCAAAATTCTAATGCTCCTTAAAAGCTTAAATTTATCATTGCAACAAATATTATCACTTGTTTTTCCTTGAGTGACAAGTTCACGTGGTTCATGTTTGAGAAAATGGCTGCCAGATAGCGAAGTCTGATTAACTGTGGTTTGTCTGTCAGTTCTTTGAAATAAATTCACTGTTTCATGAAAAGACAGCTAGTTGCTCACAACTCAAACAAGCATACAAGTATTCTTCCTCAGGACAGCTATCATGGTATACATGTGTATTTCCCATTTTATTACATATTAAAAGATATCTATCGAAGGGGTGAACTTTAATAAAATTAGTAAATTTTATT